ATCCTCATCCTCATCCTCATCCTCATCCTCATCCTCATCAGCATCATCACCATCATCCTCATCCTCATCCTCATCCTCATCCTCATCCTCATCCTCATCAGCATCAGCATCAGCATCAGCATCAGCAGCACCATCCTCATCATCCTCATCATCCTCATCATCAGCCTCATCATCATCACCACCACCATCATCATCATCATCGTCACCGCCATCATCATCAGCATCAGGGTAGCATCATCACCATCACCATCATCAACAGCATTATCACAATCCTCATCATCCTCATCATCAGCCTCATCATCATCACCACCACCGACACCATCATCATCATCATCATCATCATCATCATCATCAGCATCATCAGCATCATCGTCATCGTCACCGCCTTCATCATCAGCATCATAGTGGCATCATCAGCATCACCATCTTAATTAGCATCGTCAGCATCACCAGCAGCATTATCATCGCAGCAGAACGCACCATATCATATCATATCATATCATACCATGTCAAAGCATACTATACCATGGCATGGCATAACAGACATACCAAACCATAGCATACCATGCCATCACATACAATACCATAGCATAGCATGGCATAACATAGCATAGCATGGCATGCCGTACCATGCCATACCGTGACATAACATATCACGACACATCATAACACACCATGAGCAGGAGGAGGAGGAGAAGGAGGAGTTCGGAGCGGTCGGTGTGATAACACGAGCCCCATCCTCTCGATATGGGGAATCACATAATATACCATAGCAGATCATTACATACCATAAATAGCATACCATAGCATGATATGGCATACCAAAGTATTATATACCACAATGTAAGAGACCATAACATATTATGAGAAGGCGGAGGAGGAGGAAGGCGAAGGAGTCGGCGCGGTCGGAATGAGAATCACTGCATGGAGCTCCCAAAGTGTGCATCTATTAGCATGGACCTGCCCACCGTGAGTGTTTAGGCGCAAGAGTTTTCGAATATAAACTTGCTTGAATAGTGACGGTCTGGGTGCGAATCTAACGGTGGATGAGTTGGAGTGTGAATGCGTCTCAGTAGTACGAGCGCGCATGAGCCTGGGGCCTCCTGGGGCCTCCCGGAGCTCCCTGGGGCCTCCCGGAGCCCCTCAGAGCCTCCTGGAGCCTCTTGGGGCTTCCTGTGGCCTCCTGAGGCCTCCTGGGGCCTCGTGTGGCCTCCTGGGGCATCCTGCTCCTGGGGTCTCCTGGAGATGATTCGTGCCCCAGGAAAGGCCCAATCTATAGAAACAGACGTGCATAAAACAGTGCGGAGTGGAGCCGCACGAGAAGGGCAATCTATAGGAACGCACATAAAACACCAAGGACTCGTGAATGCATGGGAGGCTCAATCTATATGAGCATACGTGAAACACTTAGGATTGGAAACGCAGGAAAAGGACAATCTATAAAAGCATACGCAACACACCAAGGATTCGTACCCCATGGGATGCACAATCTACAGGAGCAGACGTGAATCACATGGGATTGGAGCAACTCCTTTGGCCTTCTGATGCATCCTGCTCCTGGGGCCTCTTGGGGCCTCCTGGACCCTCTTGGGACTTCCTGGGGCCTCGTGGAGCCTCCTGGGGCCTACTGTGGCCTCCAGTGGCATCATGGTGCCTCCTGGTACCTCCTGTGGCCACCTGGGGACTCCTGGAGCCTGCTAGAACCTCCAATGGGATCCTGAAGAAAATCCGTGCCCACGAGTCTGACCAACACACTAGGCAAACCGCTCGAGACATCCTCAAAATCTGCCCCCCGTTGGGGCGAACACGAGTGTTTCGTTCGAGGCATCCTCCAAATCTGCTCCGAGAGCAGAGGATGTTGGGAAATCAAAAGCAGGCACCCCGCTCGAGACCTCCACGCCATTTTGGCGCGAACGGGGGAGTGCGATACCCCCTGGCGGCCCCCCCTTGGGGCGACAATGGGCGCCTCGCTCGAGACATCCTCCAAATCTACTCCGAACGCGGAGGATGGTGGGAATCAAAACAAGCACCCCGCTCGAGACATCACCGCAATGTTTGCACGAACGAAGGGGTGCAATACCTCCTGGCTGCTCCCCCTTGGGGGCGCTGAAACCAGCGCCTCGCTCGAGACATCCTCAGAATTTGCTCCGTCATCATCATCATCATCATCATCATCATCATCATCATCATCATCATCATCATCATCATCATCATCATCATCATCATCATCAGCATCAGCATCAGCATCAGCATCATCATCATCATCATCCTCATCCTCATCAGCATCAGCATCAGCATCATTATCATCATCATCAGCATCATCATCATCAGCAGCATCATCATCATCAGCAGCATCAGCATCAGCATCATCATCAGCATCAGCATCATCATCATCATCACCACCACCATCATCATCATCACCACCACCATCATCATCATCATCAGCAGCAGCATCATCATCCGCACCATCATCATAGGCACCATCAAGTTCATCATGATCACCATCGTTATCAGCATCATCAGCACCACTGCCACCATCATCATCAGCAGCATCATCAGCATCAGCATCATCGCATCATAACACACCGTACCATAACATAGCATGACACATCGTATGATAACATACCATTTCGAAACATACAATATCATAGTGTAGCATGGCACAGTACATATACCATACCATACCATAGCATACTTTATCATAGCATTGCATATCATAACATGAAATGACATACCAAGGCATACCAGAACCTAGCCTATCCTGCCACAACATGCCATACCATAGCATCGCATGAGGAGGAGGGAGCTCGAAGAGGTCGGAGCGATAACAAGAACTCCATCCTTTCGATATGGGGAATCAAATAATATAACATGTCATAGCGGATCATTCCATACCATTACTAAACTAGCCTAACATCACACTGTATAGCATATTATTACATACCATGGCATAGCATACCATACCATATCATTAGAAGGCGGAGGAGGAGGAAGGAGTCAGCGCGGTCGGAGTAATGACAAGAACCCCATCCTTTGGACATGGGGGATAACATGAACCCCCGATCCCTTGGATACGAGGAAGAAGAACCCCATCCGCTGGAAATGGGGAATCACAAAACATCGCATACCATAGCATAGCATAGTATGGCATAGCATCACATACCATAACATACATACTATACCATAACATGCCATACCATACCATACCATGGCATCTCATACGCCATACCATAACATGGCATGTCATGGCATACTATAACTTAGCATGAGGAGACGGGAGGAGGGAGACGGTGAGAGAGTTGGCGCGGTCGGAGCAAACACAATAGTTCAAGTCTTCGGATATGGGGGCCTAGCACACCATACCGTACCAAACCTTCATACACCATACCATAGCATAGCATAGCAACAACACATACCATGACATGCCATACCATGCCATAGCATAACATCGTATACCGTACGATAACATCACGTACCATACCACAACATAACATGAGGCGGGAGGGAGGTGTGTGACGGAGTCGGCGCGGTCGGAGTAATAACAATATCCCCATCCTCTGGACATAGGGAACAAGAACCCTGTCCTTTGGATATGGGGAAAAGCAATTCAAATACACGTTGCCTCCAACTCTGGAGCATGCGCGGCCGCCCCGCGACCACTTTGCATGAGTGCTTGACAGTGGCGGCGGGGCTGCCCTCATATTGTTTGCTGCGCGTCCATAGGCCAATCATCCCTGCCAAAGCAAAATGCAACATGCCCGTTGCCTCCAAATCTGGAGCATGCGCGGGCGCTCCGCGACCACTTCGCATGGTTTTTCACAGGGATAGTCGGGTGCTACTTCTGCGCTGGGGGGGGGGGGGAGTGAGCGAGGCGGCTTGTGCCTTGTGGGCAGGAGGTGCCTTGGCCCTCCCCGAACCCCTTCTTGGGTATGGACCGGGGGTAGATGGGCGCGGAGCGGTCAGAGGGTCCAAGGTGGCTCCAAGATGGCCCCCGACGCCCCAAGATGGCCTCCGAGATGGCTCAAGATAGCATCGTGGGAGATGGCTCATGATAGTCTCTGACATAGCTCCGAATCGCCGCAACACGGCCACAGGACGGCTCCGAGCGCTCTCGGAGCCCCGCAAGGATCCCCACACGAGGCTAAAATCGTCTCGAAACCTACGGAAAATCAGTGAGTTGTGCCTTCTCGCCTTTTCGCCTCCGATGGACCTCTGAGGCCTTGAGATGGCCCCAAGGTGGCCACAGAGAGCTCAAAGAGGAGCCCAAGAGGGTCTCAAGATGGCCCAAAGAGCGCCCAAGAGCGTTCCAAGAGGAAATTGTTCGGCCTCCGAGGGGGTGACCCCGATTGACGCCGCCCTGTTTTATGAGGAATGGCTTTCAAGAGGATCCCAAGAGGCCTTCCAGGGCCTCCAAAAGGGCCCCAAGATAGACCCAAGAGGACCCAAGAGGGCCCCAACAGAATCACCAAATCCCCCAAAGCCCCAAGATGGTTCCAAGAGGCTCCCCGAGGTCTCTAATTTCACCATGGTCGGCATCCCTGCTTCACTATATGCTCACCTACGCCCCTCCTCCAGTCAGCTCTCATGGACATCGTTTCTGGACGGGCTGGTGGGTGCGCGCCAAACGTCAAGAATTCTTGCAGGGACTTCTGGTGAGGGGACCCTGGACGGTACGAAGTCTTGCAACATTGACGATGTAGCCTGGGTCTACTCTGGTGCTCTCCTCCTGCTCCTCCTCGTCCCCCTCATCTGGTCCCCCCTCCTCCTCCATCTCTCCCCCCTCCCCCGCATCCTCCCCTTCATCCTCCCCCTCCTCGAGGCGAAGAGGATGACCGAACGACCACGACGACGACGACGACGACGACGATGACGACAACGACGACGACGACGACGACGACGAACAGACGAGGACGACGACGACTACGACGACGACAACGACGACGACGACGACGACGACGACGACGACGACGACGACGACGACGACGACGACTGGCGGGCGCCTCTGGCGTCGGCCGGGCGGCGGCCGCCAGGTTCGGGAGGCCGCCGCCCCAGACGAGCGCCGCCGCGCTGACCACGAGCTTGCCGAGCTCCTGCGGGGAGCAGGGCCAACGACGGCCGATCGACGACGACGACGACGGAGCGACGACGACCAGCGGCACGACGACGACGACCGACGAAGACCGACGAAGACCGAGCGACGACCGGCCGACGACGACCGACATGACGACGACGGCGAAGACGACGACGAGGACGACGATCAGTCGTCGGGGACGAAGACCGAACGTCGACGACCGACCGTCGACGACAGAACGACGACAAGGACGGCCGACCGTCGAGGACGACGGCAGAGCGTAAACGACAACAACAACAACAACAACAACAACAACAACAACAACAACAACAACAACAACAACAACAACAACAACAACAACAACAACAATCATTTTACCCGAACGCTCAGTGTTCTCACCAGTGCCAGGGTTTTCATGCGACGCGAGACAATACCCCCACTTCGTGGGGGGGCAGTTCAAGCTCTACCAAATATCCAAACGACTCTTCGCGACCACCCAAACCCAGCTTCCCGCCCTATGACGTTGGGACACTTCACTTCGTGGCGTGCGGACGACCGTGGCTACTACACTGGCGTGGGGTACACACCCACAGAACTTGGTCACTTATTCGGGGCGCGCGTGTGCCCAGCATCCTGCAATTGTGACATACAATACATGACACAGACAGACAGAGAGAGAGACAGAGAGCAGACAGAGAGAGAGACAGAGAGAGCGGAGTTGGTCACATTTTTGGGGCAAGTTCCTGAGATCGTCGTGTTTTTTGTTGGTCTTGCGCGCGCGAATGTCCACTTTACTTTTTTTTGCAAGGGAGTATTGAAATTTGATTATGTTAGAACAAGAAAAAGTAGCTCGCGCGAGCTCATGTAACATAAATGTTGAAAAACCATTGGTTTTGTGGGAGTCGGACAGCGCGCGCGGGATGAAATTTGGACATTTTTTTTTGAAAAACCATTGGGTTTTTGATGTTTTTATGTTGAAATCGTTACGAAACCTAAGGTTCTGGAAGGATTTCGTCTTGCGCGCGCGAATGTCCACTTTACCTTATTTTTTGCAAGGGATTATTGAAATTTGATTGTGTTAGAACAAGAAAAAGTAGCTCGCGCGAGCTCATGTAACATAAATGTTGAAAAACCATTGGTTTTGTGGGATTCGGACAGCGCGCGCGGAAGGACATTTTGACAATTTTTCTTAAAAAACCATTGGGTTTTTGATGTTTTTATGTTAAAATCGTTACGAAACCTAAGGTTTTGGAAGGATTTCGTCTTGCGCGCACGAATGTCCACTTTACCTTATTTTTTGCAAGGGATTCTTGCAATTTGATCAAGTAAGAACAAGAATTTTCATTTTCTATTGTTTTTTGCAAGGGAAAACGAGCGTCAACAAAAAACCGGATCCGGAGCTCATCCACTTTTCTGAAGCTTTCGCGAAAAAATGATGAAAATGTAGCTGCGGCCTAGGCGCGGCGCAGAGGTCGCGCACCAGGGGTCCCAACAATAATAATTCTTTAGAAGGAATAATGTTCAACAACAACAACGACAACAACAACAACAACTACAACAACAACAACGACAACGACAACAACAACAACAACAACAACAACAACAACAACAACAACAACAACAACAACAGCAGCAACCACGACGACGACGACGACGACGACGACGACGACGACGACGACGACGACGGCGACGGCGACGACGGCGACGGCGACGGCGACGGCGACGGCGACGGCGACGGCGACGGCGACGGCGACGGCGACGGCGACGACGCTGACGACGGCGACGACGGACGACGGCGACGACGGACGACGATGCCGTCCACGACCGAACGACGAGAAAAAACGACGACGACGACGACGACGACGACGAGCGCGCGAGGCGAGGCCTGGCGCCGGCGTGCCCGTGCCCGCCTGGGCAGGGCGCGAGGCCGCCTCCCATCGGAGGGGGCGGGGGGCCGCCTCGCATCGGAGGGGGCGGGGGGGGGGGAGTTCGGCCAACACGCGCCCTGAGGGCCGTCGAGAGGCGGTGGTGGTGGCGCTGTCACACGACGGAGCCAGGGCGGGGACAGAACCGCACCAGGACAACTCGGGGATCTCCGAAGTCTGGCGGGCCTGGGGGACGCATCCGGCGCTTCTCGGAGCGTTCCGGAAGAGGCTGAAAGAATCAGGGGCGCTCTGGAACGATGTATCCAATCGGGAACACGGATCGGATCGGCACGTGGATCGGACTGGGCCGCGTCGGCAGGGAGTCGGAACCGCATCGCAGTGGTGACGCCAGGAGTGCACAGCGGCGCCGCGCAAGCCAGCGAGGCCGCAGCCCGTGGAGGGGAGGAGCGAACCTCGCTGATGGGGGTGACGTCCAGGATCGTACACCCTGCGACCGCGTGCTATCCTGAGACGGCGCGGCACATGACCAAAACCGGAGCCACACAGCTGGTACTAATCTGCTATCTGGCCTAGGGCAACTTTGAACGAAAATCCGAGGCTGCCCGGCGGGCATTGGCGGTAGTGGCCTCACGCGCGGCGACGAGGCGGAAACACATACACACACGCACAAACACGCACGCACAAACACACACACACACACGCACACACACACGCACACACACAGACACGCAAACACGCACACACGCACGCACGCCCACGCACACACACACACACACACATACACAAACACGCACACACACACACGCACGCATGCACACGCACGCACGCACACGCACACTTTTTGCGTCGGCGGCTAGGCAGAGTGACTGCGCTGGCGGATGGGGCAAGCATACGCACACACGCACACCCACGCACGCACACGCACACGCACGCACGCACGCACGCGCCCGCCCGCCCGCCCGCCCAGACACACACCAGACACACACACACAAACACAAACACAAACACACACACACACACACACACACACTTTTTGGCGGTCGCGGCATCGCGAGCAGCGACGCGGCGGAGCAAGTCAGGCGCGAAAGAACAGCGCGCGCGCATCAGCCTGAGAAGGGGCCGCAGCATTGCCATCCGGGCATGGATGACGAGGAGAAGGGTAGGACGAAGCCGACCACCGACCGAGGGTCTCGCCCTCGTTGCAGCAATCCCCGACAGCTCGTCCACCACCGTATTCCCGACCATGCTTCAGCACGTCTCCGATCGCTCCACAGTTGGCTGCGAGCTCTCCCCCAGGATGAAAGCATTTTTGCGACCACCATGCTTCAACCATGGCGTCATTATCAAGCACGAAAACGACTGGCCCATGGGTATACTTGGTGGCAAGCTCCAGACACGCCAACCCTCCCCGCCGAACAGTTTGCTGCGGCACAACCAAGGTCCTATACATAGCAGAACGAGTAAGAGCAGGGGAGTAAGAGGACATGGCAGCAACAACGAGGCCCACTCTCCCGAACAGAGGGTTCTCTTGGAGTCAGGGCCTCCTGAGGCATCCGCGAAAACAGCAACGGGCTCGTCCTCGCCACCCTCTCCAAGACACCCCAAGATCCAAGATACAGTCGGGGCGTTGACCTAAGGAACCCTAAATAAGGAACGAGGCCCCCTTTTTTTCCATAAGTTAAACTTCGATTTCCGATCGAAAACATAAGGAAAACCTGAAGCAAGCTGTGAAACACTTAAGGAACGCGGAGCCCCTCCCCAACGAAAAGGGTTCCTTCTTCAGGGCCCCGACTGTAGGCTCCCTTCGTTGATACCTACGGTGTCCCAGCGCTGCTGCTGGACGACAGATGAGGTCACGCTCGAGCCAACCTGTGGTGATCAGACCCCGGGGGCAAAAGCAGGATGTCATTCCACTCTGAGCCACTGTCCCTGGAGCAAGAGAAAAAGAGGGAGGAGGAGGGGGAGGAGGAGGAGGAGGAGGAGGAGGAGGAGGGAGGAGGAGGAGGAGGAGGAGGAGGAGGGGGGGAGGAGGAGGAGGGGAGGAGGAGGAGGAGGAGGAGGCGGAGGAGGGGGAGCAGGAGGAGCAGGAGGAGCAGGAGGAGGAGGAGGAGGAGGAGGAGGAGGAGGAGGAGGAGGATGGGATGGCCAAACTTGCACTTTAGAGGGTTGGGAAGGAGGGGCGGCAAGGGGGCGTGGCACCGTGGGGGTGGGGGGGGGGAAATCGACCCCCGCCTGCCCCTGTTCCTTCCGAAGGGCTGCTCCTCGTCGCACCCACAGGCGTGTCGGTAGGGCGGCAGGGCGTCTCGCCGGAGACGTCGTCACTAGCTCGTGACCCCGAAGTTTCGGAGTTCCAGCAAGTGCAGCATTGAGGGCGGGCCGTTTGCAACATGTGGCTTTACAAAAACTTGCAAACTCCTCATAAACATCTCGAACGACCACAACACGGCAGGGGGGCGAGCAATATCTTACATATGGCTCTCACCTTAGCGCTGCGCGCTTTTGTTTTCAAAACCTCCCGACAATTCAAACATGAATGGCTGATATGTATCCTAACTTCGATCCCGCTTGGAATCAATGGAACTCAACTTAGATGGCCAAGCGTAAGCATGTGCAACGGTTGCACGGATGGAAAGCGGCCCCTTTTCAAGTGTGGTTTTCGGTTGATGGAGGCTGACTTGCAAAAGTGTGGTAGCAGCTGCACGGATATGGAGGGCGACCTGTTTTCGAATCTGGCTCTCGCTGAACATGTCCTTCAAGTTTACGATCATGCCCCGTGGCACTTCCTATGACATAGAAGATGAGGGGTTGATCATTTTCACAACGAAGTTCTCGCTTGACTGGCGGGCCCATGGAGTTCTCGCCTTTCACGGAGAGGAGCCCTCCGTGAAAAAAAATGCTTGAATGGATCCATTGTGAGGGGACTCTGGGCGAGAGGGTGTATTTCAGTATCAGGATCACCTCCTCCACCCCTCTTCCTTATAAATACCTCCTCCCTGTCGCACCCCGAAACGGGTCTGTAGGGCGGGCCAGGCGTTTCGCCTGAGCCTCCTCACCATCTGTGCTCCTGAAGCTTGCCATGTGCGATAGTTGCGCAAACGGAAGGCGGGTGGTGTTCAAAATGTTCAAAATGTGGCTCTCGCCCTAACGCCGCGCGCATTCGTCTTAGAAGTTTACAAGAGCTTCGCGGATGGAGCGCGGACGGTTTTCAGAATGTGGCTCTAGCCTTAGCGCCGCGCACATTCATCTTAATAGTGTGCAGGAACTTCACGTATGGACGGCTGGCGGTTTTCAACATGCGGCTCTCGCTTCAGCGCCACACGCATTAGTCCGACATGTTTGCTAGAGCTTCACGGATGGAGGGCGGGCGGTTTTCAGAATGTGGCTCTAGCCTTAGCGCCGCGCACATTCGTCTTAATAGTGTGCAGGAACTTCACGTATGGAAGGCTGGCGGTTTTCAACATGCGGCTCTCGCTTCAGCGCCACACATAGTAGTCCTAAATGTGTGTTAGAGCTTCACGGATGGATGGCTGACGGTTTTCAAAATATGGCTCTGGCCGTCGCGCCGCGCACACTCGTTCTAAAAAATTGCCAGAGCTTCGCGGGAGGAGGGCGGTTTCTTTTCAAAATATGGCTCGCGCCTTAGCGCCGCGCGCATTCGTCTTAAAACGTTGTGGCGGTTTCGACGGTTATTACGGTTGACGTCCCAGAAGTTGTGTTTTGACACGACTGATGATTGCCAGGGCGCGATAGTCACGTTGATTCGCGGCGTCAACGTCACAGAGATGATGTTCTGGCACGATCTAGGATTTTCAGGTCGCAGCAGGAGGGTTGATTCGCGGAGTGCAAACTCCAGGCACGGTGCCTTGGCACTGTTGAACATTTCCAGACTGTTGTCTTCCAACCAGGCTCTTGCCGCAGTGATGATAAAGCCTTATAGGAGCCACCTATGAAGAGGGAACGTGGAGGGCGGGTTTATTGTTACATCGTTGATGAGTCTTGGGCTTACGCTGGCCCTCCTCCTCCTCCTCCTCCTCCTCCTCCTCCTCCTCCTCCTTCGGGGGGGGTCATCGCCACGGCTGGATCCACCTGGAAATCCTGGTCTGAGCCCTTTTTCTTCTCCTCCTCCTCCTCCTCCTCCTCCTCCTCCTCCTCCTTCTTCGGCGGATCGCGGTCCCGAAGCACCGTACATTGGTGGCGCCCTCTCCCCCCGTGCGCGGCACTGGCCACCCGAGGGGGGTGACCAGTAGCGCCACACGGGGCCGATATCTGCGCTCACCCTCCCCACACTCCTCCTTCTCCTCCTCCTCCTCCTCCTCCTCCTCCTCCTCCTCCATATCCTGGCATATCCTCCATATCCTCCTCCATATCCTCCTCCTCCACCCTGCCCCCCTCCTCCTCCAGCCTCGCCCCGCCGCCACGGCGGCGCACGCGGGGAGTGGGGGGGGAGCCGGCCGCGGCCTCCGCGCGCATGGCCGGGGCGGCCCCCGCGTGCGGGCCGGGGCGGGCTCTCCTGGTTGATGACCCCCGACTGGGAGTTCCACTCGGTCATCTGGGCCAGCGGCATGATCAGGTTCGTGCCTGCGCCCGGGCCGTCGTCGCCCGTCGTCCGTCGTCCGTCGTCGTCCGCCGTCGTAGTCGGAGTCGTACAGCCGTCGT